AACCACTGACATATTCTTTGGCATTGTCACAGTGCAGTTTTGTGACAGTTGGATTCAATTTAAAGAATAATTTAAGTTCATCAGCAATGTCACTTTTTCTTTTGAGCAGTCTTATTTCCATAAATCGCGAGTATTCATCAATTATAGTTAATTACCTCTCCCCATGGAGTGTTTGAGGTTCTATTGGACCACATATATCAGTGTGTATAGTTATAAGCGGTTTGGATTTTTTTTATGTGAGGATCCTTTCCTATAGACAATGCACTTTGTTTGGCACGAACACATACTTCACAAAAGGTTTCTTTTGCAGGAATATTCATTAGTTTTAATTTTTGATAACAGTATCCTAGTCTTCTGCGACATAAATCATCATTCTTTACTGCTAAAGCTGTAAATAGGTTTGCTGAAAAATCACTAAAATATTGTCCGCATTTATCCAAATATCCAAATCGAAAATGTGTGTTTTTGTTTTCAATGTAAACTATTTTATTTTTAAAAATTAAGCTCAAACCTGCTGCTTCAATATTTTTGACAGAAATTAATCGTCCATTTAATTTTGGAACGTAAAGAACATTTTTTAACATTATTTCAACACCATTCTTATTTCTGCCGGAAATATCACCAATTCTTCTAAAACCGCCGACTTAGATGCGCACTTAACAGTTCCAGTCCTAGGCTTTATTGAGGTAAACCATTCCTTGTGAGAAGTTGCACCAGAATCAATAATAAATTGATCATGCAAAAGATTTCCAGCCATAAAAGATATTGCAGGTAATGCATACTTATTACTATTTGAATTTGCCTGCTTTTTAGAATTATTAAAACATTCACTTTTGAAATGGCCAGTTTTCCCACAGGTATGACAGACGCTGTTCTTTTTTCTACAGAATTTAACAGAATGTCCTTTTCTTTTACAATAAGTACAAAACAGTTCTTTACGAGCATTAATAAAAACAGAGTTGCCCATATTTGGTTTAGAATACTTATTTTCACTTTTATACTCAAACATAAGAGATTCAGAATCAATAAGTCTACTTGTAACAAAATTCAAACTCAACTTGGTTGATTTTCTAGTGATGCCTTAAAATTTTCATATCAATTCAATGACATTAAAATGTAAATAATAATATCAAAGTCACTTACTTCAGATCTTCAGGCATGTAGATTACTAACCAAGTTCATTATGCTGTCTCATTTACACATCTTTGGATTTTCTTATGGTAGCTAAACGTTTACACGTTAAAATTCGACTCACTGCTCCTTTAGCGATATACGTTGCTTGCAGCTTCTTCCATATTTTACATGCCGTGTCTTCACGTTGAAGAGAAGCAATAATATTATCACATAGAAGCGCAAGTATTAAGGCATAAGCCTTTTTTTATCTCAAAACATCTGCAACTCTGTGAGCAATTGCTTCTGTTTCTAAAAATGTATCCAATTCCTTTGCAGTAAATACTGCTTGAACTCTTCGACACCAAACAGCAAAGTTATTAACGCCATCAAATGGCACAACACCAAAAGCTTCCCATTCAATTCCGGTTGAAAAAGCCGTCATTCATGAAACACCAAAACAAAATCCCGCGAACGATAAATTATTACACTGGAATAGAAGGTTCAATTAGGAAACAATATTAGCAAATTTTAATTTTTGACGACCCATGCTCTGCTGTTGAACATAGAAAATGCCGTGGTTTGCAAAACAAATATTTATTACTAAGTAATACACAGAGATACAAGCAGAGTTACATGCAGAGAAATACAAGCAAACAGACAGTGAAAACGTTTACAGAGGTCATATGTATAACTTTAACAGATCATGGTTTAACAAATCATAAACAAGACACAATAAACAACCAATCAAAAGTAACATAAAGAATAGGATTAAGTTTCAGAATAATTCGAACCTGACTGAATGCTAATGAATGTATCGGATGTGTCAGAAAGCTATACTTCCTTTTAACCGGTAAGAATGCGATTACAAACATCTCAACAAACATTAAAGTATTTATTTCAGCATTTCTGCTTAAATAAAACGTAATACTGTTTGCTAGAAAATCTTTTTAAATCAATAACCTACATTTATTCTATAATATACAGTAAGACCCCGCTTAACACGGGGGATACATTCCATCAAAGTACAGCGTAATGTAAAACAGAGCTAAACAAGGTTATCTTAACATGTAAATAATGGGGTTAGGGAAAGATGGATAGAAAATTGGTTAGGTATTAAATTTAATATTTTTTTAATAAAAATAAAACCAAACATTTATTTCTTGCAAAAATAAAAACAATATAAATAAATATACTTATAAAAACAAATAAAATTCTGTCATTCAGATCATTCAGTCTATTCTGTGTATCCAATTTTCTGCCTTTTTGTCAAAAAGGCATTATGATAGATTGGCTTAATGGCATATTGTGTTCAATTTCGTCGTCAATCCATATAGACAGTCATTTTTCCATTTCCTCTATAATGTTATTTCTAGAACGGGTAATTCTAGTTGCAGAGCTTGACGTAGTTGCAGTTGTCGATGACAGTATTTTTTCTTTATTCTTAAGAATTGTCCTTATTGTTAAAGTTGCCAAATTCAATGCAGCACTAATTTGAGATTGACGTTCACCAGAATCTAATCACTTGCATTTTAGTTTCCAGTGAAATACTTTTTCTGGTTTCTTTTCTTCTTGTTTTTTTATTATCACCCATGATAAAAACTAAAGATCATAATATTTGTTACTGTATTAATTGTTATAGTATTATATAAATTTATACTTACAATAATGTCAACAAATGTTTCAAATGATAAAAATGCATCCATACAGCACTGCACCAAACAAGACACGACTACATTCTTTCGGATATGTTATTTGGAAGCCTAGCGCTGCGCACAATTTCGGGGAATCCCCGTAGTGCTACGAGCAATTTTGGGGAATCCCCGGGTTGAAATAAAAGAGCTCTAAACCGAAACAGCGTTAAGTGGGGTCTTACTGTACTTGCATTACTTAGAGATGGAAAGAAATTAATTTTGAATTTACACCTAAGAACACAACAATTTACTCTAATAGTAGAAATCTCATTACACTTTTGTTGAGTATTGAAAAGATTTAAATCTGCTGTTTTTTTTATAAAAAAAAACAGCAGATTTAAATCTTTTCAATCTTTTTTTTTTTAAAAAAAAATCACTTGGAAACAAAAAATTCCATACCCGCAAAAGATTATCACATCTCTCTGACACTACTAATAGTATTAACAGATATATAAATGTTGGTCTTTCCAAAATTACAGTATTTTTCCATTTCGCGGGCGCAAATCTCGCCAAGCAGTCTTTGTTAGCAACAACATACTGTATACACATAAAAAGTGTTAACAAATGTTAGGTCTAAGAATTTTTTATTTTGTAGACATAAACATTTTAATATGGTTTAAAATTTTGAAAAAAGCTAATAAATAAAGATAATAAATTTGTAAAAAGACATTAATTTAAGAATTTACTATGCTTTCATGGTTGAAAATCTTGACTCGTCAGTTCGTATCACGTGAACCGAAGTGATCTCACCTCACGTAAACTGTGCTACAAAAATCTCTAATTCTCTCAGTAATTATCTACATTAATTTCAAGTTAAATCTTAATTTGGAATACAAGCTTAAATGCAAGAATTATTTCAATTTGTATGAATAGCTTCCTCAGAAAGAATGTAAAACCGCAGTGCTTTACTTCGCTAGTGTATTCTCATTAGAATTGATGAATTTAACCCTTGATTTTGCCTTTTCTATATTTTCGCCATCAAGTGAGTGGTTTCATTGCATCCTAATTGACTTAATTACCGCGAATGGTCTTAGGGCATAAAATTTAGCTATTTTGTAAAAATTCTATGTAATTGTATGCCAGTATTGAAAGAAAATCAATCTGATAAGAAATGGCTGCGTCTTGTTTTGAAAACGAGCCGTAAAATGTTACCAGTGAAGATATTCCGTTTGGCATCAGTTGTACCATTACTGGCGACTTTATCGTTTGAGCTGGCAAAACGGAAAAGTACCGATAATTCTTCAACTAAAATTTGGAGGTAACAGGGAATAAAACTGCTCTGCTCTGATTTAAAAATAATACATATTTTTCCATCAACATTAAAGTTGGTGCATAACTCCCCAAACTTATGCCAGTCATTTAAACAGAAATTTAATGGAATATATCATTTTTACTTCAATTAGATAATCAACAGATACAAGGTATAGATATAGCATATAAAAAAATAAATAAATAGGAGTTTATGTTTTGAAATTACCTGATTATCTCACAAACAAATTTTTTAAAACTTATACCAATCATTCCAGCAGCCAAAATTCTTTAATGACATTTACAATCGCAACTAAATAATTGTCATCTTTGTGAACTAGGCACAATATACATTCCATTAAAATACAAATCTAAGCAGTCTTATGCTATTGGCAATGTTTTATTTAATTATTTATTTATATTTTATCTTTTTGCTAAACTTTTTTAATGATTTGAGTGCATGTACCAGTATAACCAGTCCCACAACTCTGAAAATTCCCCACTCCTTGCTTTGAGAAGGCAGATTAAAAATTTTAATAATTTTTTGCAAAATGCCAAAGGCAAAACATTAGAAATAGCAGTTAATGTACATCCTTCATTACAAAAACTAAACTAGCTTACTACGGATAGCAGTTACATAAAACCAAAATGAAGATCATACGAGTATGTCATAGTATTATATTTATCTATTACACTGTTTGACAACAGTTTTTCTTGTCAAAAACAGTCGGTGGGAAAATATATAAGCACCCTACATCCTTATCATTTTCAGAAGGAGCATATTAAGTCTAATTTCTTATTTATTTCCATACCCTTTACTCTGATATACTGAAAAAAGAAAAATTAAAGATAATCAGATTTATAATAATAATAATAATAATAATAATAATAATTCATTGTATCTGACACTTAAATGAAATCAGCTTGAAAGTATTAATAATGTTTTACCATCTTCGAAGTAATAAGGGTATCGTTTCATTTTTTTCTCTTTCTGTTGGGGTGGCTCTTGTGGAACTAACTTAGCCTGAAAAACAATTCATTTGTTACAAATAAATAAAACAAAGGCAGTTTTGCATTAAAACAACTTAAAAAACATTTATCTGCTCATCAAAATACATAAAATTTTCTTAAGCTTAATGATATTATATTCAACACAGCAAATCTAGACTATATTTTTCATAAAATGTAATTTTGTAATAAAAATGTTACGAAAAACAACAACAACAACAACAAAAAAAAAAAAAAAAAAAAAATTTCAAATTCACTGTGTACAGAAAATACATTCTTTCTCATCACCATTTGAGGAACATTTATAATTACACTGAAAACTCCTGTTACTTGTTTTCATTTAATTTGGAAACATAATGAGTATAAGAAGTTAGATTAAAGACAACTTTATGATTTCTAGCAATTTACTTATTATCAATTCCAATGTTAAATACCACTCTGATTATACATACTGAATATAAATTAAATTCACATGCAAAATCATAATATAATAGCATCATAAAACCTAATTCAGAAGTCAAACAACAAAAATCAGTGTTATATTTTCAAAAATTTTCACAGGACTAGTTTTGATGGTTTTACTGAACCACCATCCTCAGCTGCAAAACCGCAAATGAACAAGATAGGAAATAATGATTAGATAAGATAAGAAAGTCCCTACAAGAATAAGCAAATGGCGCCATATGGCATTTGCAGCAGAGGATGGTGGTTCGGTAAAACCATCAAAACTAGTCCTGTGAAAATTTTGAAAATATAACACTGATTTTTGCGTTTGACTTCTGAATTAGTATTTATTCGGCGTGTTATTGTGTTTTGATTATCATAAAACCTGTTAAAATAATACTAATATAGAGCATTAAAATAACAATAATTAAAAGAAATTACAGAAATATAAAACAATTAACCTTTTGAGCTTCTTCTACTTTCTTATCTTCATATTCTTTGAATTTTGCTCGCATAGGTGTTAATTTAGCTTGAAGTTCTTCTGTACATAATTCAAATACATCTAAATCTAAAGAAAATTTTACATCCTAAAATGGAAAAAAAAAGTTTCAAATGAAAATTAGTAAAGAGAAGATACAATTTCACATAAATTCTTTAAAAAATTAATCAAATAAAATTAACATGAAAGAATAAAACCATTAATAGATTAGAATATAACAATAACCTTTATAATACTTATTTCAGAAGTCACAAAAAGTGAGAAAGAAATAAAAGGCTGTTTTTCTCTGCATGGCTGATAATGCTTTGAATGGCTGATAAACACAATATAAAGCTCTAATCAATGATAGAAATGTTTAATATACACAAATAGCATTTTGTATAAAATGATATAACACAGAAATTGAAGAGAAATGAAATCTGATTTTTAGAAAGCTGAAAATCAAACTTAAAATAGTATTTTATGATTATGCACCCCCCCCCCGAAAAGTATTCACTGTGCAATGCATGGTTCATCAAAATAGATAAAATATGATGTCACCAAATTTTTATGTAGAAATCCAGGCATGCATGCAGGTGTAGCAGAAGAGTGCTCGTCATTAGCATTTGGGCCCACCAGCGGCCGAGCGTAAAAGTAAATCGAGTAGTAAAGTCGCTGAACACTGGTAGTTCAGTCCGAGGTTCGAATCCCGCGTACGGGCTGGCTGCATGGGCGTTTTCCCCATGTGTAACGTGTATACGAGCCAGTTTCCCTTAGAAAGTCCTCCACGAAGGCATCCCTCACCTCAGGCAGATAGCCCTAGTGTGCTTTGTCGTAATTAAATCAACCAACCATTAGCGTTTGTTTTTGTTGCATTGAGGATAATCATTAGAGCTGGTTTTAGTTATATTGTGTGCTCCCCCCCCCTTTTTGTGCATTTCTCTGTTTTGTGTGAGAGAACACCAGTGTATGCAGTGCATAGTTATATGCGATGCCAAGTTTCTGCAATTCTCTAATGTTTACAAAACTAAAATAGATCACTGCATATAGAGAGAATAGAACACGCAAAAATAAGTAAGTTGTTATTATGGATGTTTCTTACATTTTTACTTTTGTTAATTGGTTCTGTAATGCGTTGCTATTTCGAGTAATTCTTAGTACAGAGCCATTTTTGAAAATGGCCATTGTCTTTTGCATCTTAGCTTGGTGAAAAATTAGTTCCCAACAGTCGGTTACTCTTCCAGAGGGGAATGCGAATAATCAGAAAGTAACATTAAAATTATATAGAAGCACTAATATTTTCAATTAAAAGACAAAGCACTATTACCTGAAATATTGATAGTTTCAATGGTTTTTATGTTCTTTTATACAAAATTTTGTGTATAAAAATTTTATGTACCAAATGTAAAAAAATTCAAAAATAATTACAATGGTCTAAAATCGTCCCTCACCAAATAGTAATGATAATATCAATATTGAAACTTTCTGGAATGTATGACTATTATTCAGTACTGCTGAATATAACACAAATAACGAAGAATAAATCAATATTTAAAATGCAAACAATTTTAAGTAAAATTTTAAAACTTTTATAATACATAAAAACCAATACAGTTAAAAATTACTTACTTTTAAAATTTTAGCATTTATAGATTCCTTTTCTTTATAAAAAAATCTAACAAACTGTATTGTTAAATATGTTGGCAAACGACTAATTTTACTCTGAAAGAAAAGGAAATTAATAAAATATGCAATAAATGCACTTTATCACATAATGTAATCTGAATGGGAAAAAAAGCATTGAAAATATTGATCATTTTATCCTGCACATTATCTGATAATATACAAATCAAAATATCAATCAATATTACTTTTTTAACAGACACAGAAAAGTTTGAAATGCTTAATTAAGAGGATATTTAACTTTTTTAAAACATTAAAAACTGACAATACAAAATACAAAATCAATTTTAAAAAAATTTAAATCCTTTTCAGCTTTCATTTTATTTAGAGTAACAATTTTTAATACATAAAGATAATCCAATATAACACTTATTTTATCGAAATAGTAAATTAGCACTTCATATTCAAAATATGAATGCTCAAGAATAATAATATAAATCAGTTTTTTATGATTTTTCATGACTGTAAAGTTCTTATTTTTTAGGCAATTTTACATAAGTGACCAAAAAAATTTATTTTTTAATTGACTCTTCATTATTTTTTTATAACTATAATTTCTCAAAAAAAAGGGGGGGGAGAAAATGAAGAAGAAGGAGGCCTATCTTTAGAAGAAATCTTTGAAACTTTAAGTTTGCTGTATCTAGTACCTATATAATAACAACTTTAGAATTATTTTCTGAAGATTACAGAAGAGACTGAAAAAGCAGATTTGGAAATATTTATAACAGATTCAGCTCATGTAATAGATAAGGAATGTACTGATAATGAAAAATTATGTACCGCATTTCTGATAATCATAGGTAAGGAAGATGTATTAAGATATTAAAAATAAAAGAAATGCTAGAGCAAAAAAATCTCACGTGTACACCACATGACTTCCTTGTGTGGAATATTAAATTATACACATTTTTTCTTGCATTTCATTTAAACTTATTAGATTGAATTAAACCTACTCGACAGCGCATAAACCACAATAGAAAAATGCATTCTTTAAAAATTCACTTTGTTTACCATAGCGACACTCTGGCGCTAGGTTTATTAACAGTATATATTTCGTTCATATTATAACTCAGAATGAAAATTTATATCATTAAAGAATTATCTAATCGTTTGCAATGTTTATTCAAATACTGTAATAAAGCTAGAATATGTATAAAAGAAATTAAGTAAACAAAAAAAAGAAGTTTTTTTCACAGACGACTGAGTCGTCTCATTTCAATTAATTCGTTTCACTTCGCGACAAGGCAAAAAATACATAAAAACTCAAAATATCTGATTAAAAATTACGAAGTAATCTTAAACGCTTATTTCTCGAAAAAATTCCAGAAGGATTAAGCATGATTAAATAATAAATGAAGGTGTTATCTTGTTGTTGCGAAGCTAAGTTCTCTAGATTGCATAAATCCATAGTTTCAAATGTAAACTCAATGGCCGCCATTAAACAGGCTTAGCGGCAATTAAACAACTTTTAAATTGCTGATAATTTTAAAAAATATTGCACGCAGATTTACTAAAGGCATAATCCTAACCGAAGTATAAAAACAACATAATTAAGCCGGTAACAGAGGGATATATTATTACGTTGGCGCGGCCGATGAAACCAAAATACGAGGTGACATCTACATGTAAGTTAGTATATACAAAATTTCAACGTTCTGAGGCTACTCATTTTTGAGTTATGCGAGATACATACGTACATACGTTCGTACAGACGCCACAAAAAATTCTCTTCAGAATACATTTTAAAGCAGTTTTATAATTTTTTTGGAGGAAAAGTGTGTTTTATTCTGTCCTTATGTACAGATATCACGCAAAAACATCGTTAAATTGCATTCGAAAGTGGTCAAAGTGGATATTTTTGTTGAAATATGCTGCCTGAAGCTTTTCGCGATTACAATACTTCCTTTTTACTTCGTACAAGGAAGTAAAAATAGATAAATATATTATTGGAAATGTAAGTTTCTAACGTAATAAAATGTACTGAAACAAAAGACAAATTGCAGTCTAAAGAGCAGGTACTTTTAATTTACTTTACAAGAATTCATGACATGCAGTGGAATTTAAATCATAAGAAATAAGTAATATCAGCTTATTCCACGAAGATCTTAAAGAAAGGCCCCTTGAAAATGTCGACTGATTTGCAAAAAGCTACTGTTACTCCCTCAATAAAAAGGTCAAGAAAAAGAAGGAATCTCAAATACAATAAAAAATCAAATATGAGTATACTAGTCTTCTGCCATCTCAAATAGTTTCATCCAGTTACATAGCAAACCATGTAAAAACAATCGTTCAGCATTCAGCAGTAAAGCCAAAGGTAGAGAAATAGAAAAAATACAGAAATTTCTGTACTACTGGACATTAAACAAAGGCCAGCAATGCAATGAATGCTGTAGTGGAGGAGTAATATGATATGGTTAGATTTTTTACTGCTGAAAATGTTTCATATCATTACATGTATTGCATGCATTTTAGATAGCAGTGCATTTGTTTGGCTATTATTCAATGATGACAGAAACATTTTAAGAAAGGATACACCATCTATAGAAATGACCTCTGACCTTCAAAACTATTGTGCCATAACAACAAAACTGTTACAATTTTATAGCAAATTGTGACCTGAAAGATTTAATTTACATTTAAATACACAAACTATTTTTTCATGCTTATTCTTGATAACCTTCCTAAAACTAAAGATTTTGCCCTTTCATTAAAAATATTCATTCCAAACAGCTAAGTTTTTAAAATGAGTGATGGACATATTAAACTAATAAAGCAAACTGTGTTTACAGAAACAAATTTTCATCAATAATGTCACTCGAATAATAATCAATAAATGTCACTCGAAATTTGTCAAATTTTTTTGCAAACAATAACATAATGCCCACAAAATTCATAAAATACCACTGATAAATAAACGAATCTTATTATGCATGAAATACATCAATTTAATAAAGGTACATACAAGTAAAATCGAAAAACTTACAGATTTTTTATACTGAGCATCCCTGCCTAAAGTTGAAGAATATTTTGTAAGGGTCTCTTGCATACGCTAGGAAGGAAATAAAATAATTATAGAGATGAAATAAAGGTTTTAGACTTTAAAAAGCCAAGCTAAGGATTACAAAAATTAAATGTACTATGTATGCAGTGACTATAGTATATAAAATATTCATTTTAAATACATACCAATGAATAAAATTTCATATAAGTTAAAAATATTTATAATAGATTTACAAAAATAATTACAAGTGAACTCACCTGTTTAAGACCTGTAAGCATGAACTTGACATCTGGAAAAATAATTTAATAAATTTCAATAAAAGAAAAAGTAATGCAATAAGCCACAGTAAAACAATAAACATATTGCAAATAATAAAAAAATTACAAGCTGAAACTCTAAAAATATACTCCAATAATTTTTTTCCAATATTTTCGCATCTTTTTTTCTCTATCTCTCCATAGAAAATACCGTATTTACGCGAATCTAATGTGCATCGTTTTTGGCCAAATGTAGTACTCAAAATTGGAGTGCGCATTAGATTCGATGGCGCATTAGATTCGAGTGCAAAGTTCGCCGATGACGTCAGCAGTTCGCCAATGACGTCAACCGAATTAAATCGTAACAATGGATTACTGTATTTCCGACTAATTACCGTTACATTATCTTGACCCATTATTGCATAGAGGGTACAAACTGCAGGTACGTAGTCCCGAGATGGAGACAAAGCTGAGAAGAATGTCATATGACGCTACTTTCAAACGTAAATAATTCTTTATCTAAGAGAATGGCAAATAGAAAGGCGGGAGAGAGTTAAACGTCTGAGAGCAATGTTCGCTTGTGCGGCAACAGAAATTGGCACTGTTTGCAACTAAAACTAGTATAGAAAGAATTCACTGGCCCTCGCAAAAGAAGACACCCTAAAATGAAGAAAAGTTATGGATTTGTACGTCAGGAGGAAAGAATGGCCACCTGTGACTCGCCCCACTATAAAATAAAGCAAAAGAGAGCGGCTGAAGTTCTTGGAATACCGAACAAGAGTTTTAGGAAGCCGTGGATGGGTGGATCGGTTTATGAAGCGAATGGGTTATTTCTAAGACGCCGTACAACAATATGCCAAAAGCTCCGTAGATTTTGAGGGAAAACTACTAACATTTAGCGGTATGTCTCACACTTCGGAAGGAAAAGAATTTTTCAATGGGGCAAATGACAACGCTGACGAGATGCCAATTTGGTTTGATATGCCTCGTAACTACACCCATTACGGAGAAGGGGACTAAAAAAGTTATCATCAAAATAGTGAATAAAGCATTACTATTAATCACTGATTGTAGAAACTGTTAGCTAGATAGAAATGTTACCATTATTTCATGTTCATACTTTACGATATGTACCGTATATACGGTAGTGGTATTAACATGATTGTTTCACACGATAGCCCACTAATAGGTTAATTCTATGTTCTGTTACTTAGTAAAATCCATTGCTGTATAAAATATGTTATCTAAATTTAATAAAATTATCATACCATTGATTGATAGTTATATACAAATCCATTGTTGTATAAAATAAGATTCAATAAATTCCTCATACCATTGATGCGCATTACATTCGCCGACAAACAATTTTTTTTTATTTAAAGTTTTAAAATGGGGATGCGCATTAGATTCGATGGCGCATTAGATTCGCATAAATACCGGTATATATAATATATATAATTCTAACTTTACAAAAATCTTCAGAAAAGCATACTTACAGAAAAATTAAAAAGAGACATTTTGATGACAAATTTTGAAACTTTAATAAAAAATAAATTATTGTATCAGATTTCACTTACCGTATTTGACGGCATATAAGACACACTTTTTTTCTTAAATTTGGTCTCAAAAAGGTTACTTGCATCTTATACTTGAAGGACACAGGTTAACTTTCAATACTGAATGCTATTTTTAGCCCGGATAAAGGTCTAGACACACATAACGTTTTCTACATCTGCCATAATTATTTTGCACATGCACGAAATATCTGTTGCCAAAAGGCGCCAAAGCTCGAAGCTGATGACGAAGTTCGAACAGGTTCGACGGTCACATTACGTCTATGGAGCCTTTCCTTTTTTACATAAACTTTCTTTGACTCAGCCGACACACATGTAGGTATCAGTGCTACTCTGTATAAACGCATCGGTGCTTAAATCTATTTGTTTTAAAAAAATACTCTGAAAATATGACTACGGGAAACAAGAGATTCATTATTGAAATTTACATATTATGTTCAAAATAGCTTGTCGTTTGTTAATTTTCCTTAATAAAAATATGTTTCGTAATTGCATTCAATGATTGTTTATTTGGCTTTTACGAAACGTGAGAACTAAAAGAAACCGCATTTTAAGTTATTGTGGTACTGTGCTATTGCACGGACTATCGAGACTTTTTTTCCCTGTGTGTTGCCTTCTAAATAAGGGTGTGTCTTATATGCCATCAAATACGGTAACTGGCTAGACAGCGATAACGCTACAAAATTTTATAATATTACAAGTTTTGAATTAGCCCCAACATTACATAATTTTCGTATTTTCTTGTTAAAATGACCACCATGTTTAGATATCAGAACAGGCAAATTTAATTGTCTAATCTGTAACGTGCAAACTTCAGATACTGATAAAAGTTCAGGTGGTTTTAACTAATTATTAACTAACATTACCATTACTACTAACTAATCAACAGATATAAAATATGAAACGAAGTAAAAATTTTTCTATTATTTTTACTAATTAAGAGTATCTGTATCAATGCAGACTATCTGAAAAATAACAAATAATTTGTTCTCAACAAAATGCTTTTATTTTTTTTATTTTTTTTTTTTTTCTGCAATAAAAATCTGATGTGGATATCACTTGACTTCCTAACTTAATTAAACAATTCCCAAGGCAATTTAAAAATGACATCAAAAATAGCACATTTTTAAATTAAATATCCCAGTCAATTTTTGTCATAAGGGAATTTAATTTCTTTTATATATATATATTGTAGTGAGTATAAAACTTTCCCAAATATAAGTAAACAAACTGCGAGACCCCATTAAAATGGCATTGCCCAAATCTAAAGAGAATTACTTAACTCTCAGACTGAATGTCTTAGAAATAAATTTACAAAAAAAAAGGGGGGAGAAAGAAAAGAAAGAGGAATCTAAACAGATCAAGTCCACTCCACAATCTTTCCAACAAACAGAGCTTTCGAGTTCTTTTTTCTAACTACGTAAACCACAATACAATAAACACATTCATTCTGGATATATGTGCCACTTTTTTTCATCAGTCCATTCCCAGTTGTCTGGTATTTCAATCAAATTTCACTTAAATGAAAAATCTTTATTGCAGACTTAATCCTTTTAAAAATTTTGATATATAACTACAAGAAAAAGTTTGATTTCTGAAACACATATCACTGACCTCTCTCTTTTACACTTGATTATAACAGTGAGTCAATTTTTCTATATTTATTTCATTAAAACACATTAAAATACACTAAAAAGCCATGAATTAAGTCTGCAAAGTATGCAATGATAGCAAAAGGGATAATAAGTAACAACAATTTATGCACAATTAAAAGTAATTGGCATTTTTCACATTAATATTCCATAAAATGATTAAAATGTAAATGTTAGAACAACTTAAATAAAAATTGAGTCATAATTTGTAAAAGCAAATTGAAAATTTAAATGTGTTACCAGTTGATATAAAACAACTCAGTTGTAAGAAACTTTCTTTTAAATGAGTTTCTGGTTCCTCTTCTGATTCAATGCATTTTAATCTTCATTAGTTAAAGAACAGGTATTGAATTATTTGATTGAAAAGTATACAGACATTACTTTAAAAGAAAATAAACACATTTTTTAACAGATCCATATTTATTATTTCCATATAACAAAGGATACGTGCAATCTAAAGTCCCACCAAAGTACTGATCGATAAAACTAGTGTACTTTGAAGCTGTAGCTTGAGAGGATTGTTCTTTATTTGGAACAGAAGGCAATTTCTGTTGTAACATTCTCATAACTTCTGTCCAACATTCATTGGCATCCTAAACATATTAAATAAAGTTGGATAAAATATAGTTATGCAAATTCTCTAAAAGTAGAACTAAAATTTTGGTAGAAAATCTTTTGACTTCCAATACAATAATCCACAATTAATTTAATTTTAAAGAGAAAAATCCTCCATCATGTACCTGCTGAATGTATGTACCATGCTCATTTTTTTCTGCAAACCGAGGAAAAGCCATATGGAGCACTTGCAGCAAAATAATTGGCTGATACTCTGTCCCACAATGATCCATAGCTTCATATAAATCTCTTAAAGCTGGAAAAAGCACTCATATAATTCATCATGTATGTATTTAAAATTAAAAAAAAAAAAAAAAAAAAATTTGCTAAACTTTTATTTTTTCTGAAAAATAAAAAATATGACCAAATTATGTAACTGAATTCAAATATATGAATACCTGCTGTAATAGACTGAGCAGGAACAATTGAAGAGCCTGATGCTAAGCCTCCAGGAAATCTATAAAAGGACTATACATTACAAATAATGAATATATGAAAGTTAACATAAAATGAGAGAACAAATAGACTACAGTTTTTATACTGTTCATTATTATGGTATCAGTACTTCAAACTATTTATTTAAATAATAATAATAAGACAAATAACTATGCAAATCAAATAAGACATTTTATATGACTTGCAACTACATATAATGGAACTGTTTTATAATGTTATAAAAAATTATCTATAATTAATGGGTAATTAATACTTTTAATTAATGGTTTTTTATGATTAAGCCATTAAACATAGTTACTCAAAACTTTAAAAAACGGGAGGGCAATTTTAAATAACGTTATTATATAAAACAAATAAGCAACTCTACTTAAAACTGTCAATAACAAATATAAACTTTTTAAACACAATTATTGCTTCAGACTACTACAGAAGCAAAATTACAACAAATACTTGCTAAGGCTGCTAAGTAAAATATATCATTACCCTTTTTCTGACTACTTTTAAATGATGTATTAACTTATATATTTCCTTCATTTAATAAAATTAAATAATAAAATAATTCATTGCAAATTTAAAAACTGAAAGAACAAAAATAATGATAAAAGTAAATCAAGACTACTTCTGCAGGACTGGCACATAATACACAACTAAAAAGAAATACATTAGGAACTGCATCTAAAATCAACAAAAGTTATTTAGTTATTACCCAGTGGTCTGAAATTCAAACTGCTTGTGGGTAAAATGTGCAATCTGAAAGCAGCTGATGAGACAGATTGTTTTATTGACAGAATAAAAAAACACTTTAAATTTTTTTTTTTTTTAATTTTGGCTGCTAAATATTTATCAAAGCATACATAATAATCATAATATTGCAAAGGTTAAAATATCAAATTTATAGTTATTTTTCATTTAAAATCAATAGATTGTAACCTGAAAAACATTTTTGTTGGTTACAAATTTGTTACTCAAATATACTGATAGTTAAATACTAAATTTTCAGACTGATTTTTATTTAAAATAGTTCTGGCTTGTTTTAACAAATAATTAAATAATTTACAACCTAAGTTTTCAGAATTTTTTTATTTTTAGTTTAACACATTGATGCCAGTTTGACCTACCAGAGGGTTATACTTGTCTGTTCCGTGTCCACCAGTGGGTCATGCTTGATTGTTCCGCGAGCCGGCATGACTCACCGATGTGCCACGCTTGTATATAAAAAAATAATATAATTTGGCACTGTGCCACCCCACGAGATGAGCCGCTAATTCAAGTAGCGCCACACAAAAAGAACAATGAATATCCATGCCAGCGTCAAAGTGTTAAATTACACTGCCACTCAGACAGGAAAGTTAGTTATTTTGACTGCTGTATCAAAGGATCTGGAGAAGGCATGAATGAAAATTGTCTGCCCATTCATAGGAGGCAACAGTAGTCCACCTATTAGGTGCCTCCATAATAAAGTGATCACTTCCGGCCTTAGTAGTGGCCAACACCTAAAATGGTTAGTGCTTATCATTGGGGGATTTTTTTTTTTTTAAATTAAACTAAAAATAAACAAATTATGAAAGTTTCTATGTTTTTAGAAAAGACTTTCCATGTGCTACAAAACTTTAGAATAAATAATGACAACCTAATTTATTTATCTTGGGTATTAAATTTTTCCTTCAACACTTTAATAAAAATGCATATGTCTGCATGTAAATGATTGTACACTTCTTTATTTCTTACAACAGCCTGACTGTAAATGGTGTTTCAGATAAAAGTTATGGCCTTGAAGAGAAATCACTAGAATTTCATTGTGGATTGCAGATGCTTATCAATCAATCGTGCATCCCCCTCATTAATTTTACTTGTGAAAACAAGCTATTCACATACGAACGTGTTCCCAAACAAAGTAATTATTTTGGGTGCAAATGTTCATAACTGAGGTTACATATGTTTGATAAGTACAAATAAATGTTAATAAAACCTACATCTTCAAATTTTTAATAAGATTTATATCACTCTTGAAATTAATTAGCTCAATTTATAAATTTTCTGGTGTATCATTCATGTTCGGTTTTAATGGTAACAAAAATAATGTAAACATCAATTTCAAATAACTAAAATTTTGAAATCTTGGTATTTGCAACAAATGCATATGTTAAACATATTTTCAGGCCACATAAAATTGCTCTGGGGTCTTGTGGCCAATTTGAGAGCACTGCTATATCATTTTAATTAATCTTCACTGATCAAGTATCCAAGATGAAATATATCTCATATCTCAAGTTTAAATAAATTAATAAATAAAAACTACAATGTTAAAGAGAACTTTTAAATCAATAACTTAAAATATATACAAATTAATTAAATATATAGCAGAAAATTTGTTTCAACATTATCGCACTTTCATTAAAATTACAAAAAAAGGCAAAACAATATTTATACATTATTATTTAATTTAAATAACTTAAATGCAGCATACAGTTTTTTAAAAAAACTTGAGTACTTAAAATACTGTAATAAAGTTTTCATATGCAAAGTTATCTAAATCCAGAATAAAAATTCCTTTGACTCACTCTTTAAGAGCTTTCCTCAACTCAGGAACAGTCTTAAGACACTGTATGGTAGCATTCATATAACATGTATTACCTAAGTTTGTCAGACCAGGAGGAAGTTCAAGCTGTGAGAGAAAGAGAAGAGTTTAGAAAAGATACAAAATGTAAATTGAACAAAACCAAGGGGCAAAAATTAAAACTGTCCGAATTGGTGATCTACCGAATGACGTTAGTTAATCAACTTTATACTAGATGGCACCACCACTTTTCCAGCTTATCGTTTCTTTCACATGCAGTTTTTCTGCTGAATTTGCAGACAGTTTTAAAAATGCTGTCTTCGAATCTTTGTTATCAATTTACTTTCAAATAGGAACTTATATTTTTCGTGTTCATATTCCAAAGAGTTGAAACAAGAAGCAGATGAATTAACTGTTACCCTACATGGCAACAATGTTTAATTTATCTTTCTTAAATTAATTATCTCTCTTTTTTTAATCCTCTGCTTACAAAAAATTGTTTATAAATAGGTTTTGAAACAACTCAATATAGCAGTACAAAATCAGGTGTATTTTGTCTTACCTCTTACCTGTTTCATTCACTATATGTGCAAAATTATTGATATAATCTATATCCATAACATTAAGGGACTTACTTATAGTTATATTAATATCAAGTAATTCACTGAAATATTTAAACCAGCTAATCTAATTTTAAAAAAATATTTCACCCTTTTGTTCGCAAACTGAAAGTTTCTTATACGCAGCATAAAACACAGCAAAAGAAATAAATATTTTTGCAAAACATAAAGAAATATTAATATTAAATAATAATAAATCTGATCCTGCACATTTTAATAAAATGGTGGAAAAAAATAAAATGTATGAAAAAATTTTTAGTTGTGCCACCTATCAATCCATAAATGAACCACACAGTTACTACAGTAAGGTAGATAGATCACCTATTAGGAGAATTCGAAAAAATTTAAACATATACAGTGAAAATTCGTCAATCCGGAATGATCTATAATCCGGACCTCAAAGCTACAAGCTTTCTACGCATGCGTCAAACGCATAATGTGTTCACGCATGCGCACAGGCGTTTACGCATGCACGTAATACTTTTACACATGCGCATAATGTGTTTACGCATGCGCGTTTAATGTATAACGGATGGTATAAGCTAAGCTAAAATTATCTAATTATCTATTTCAGTTAATGTTGCAGATTGCGTTGTTCCTTAATTTTCGAATTGGATCCGGCTTATTATTTTTTGCAGACTGTTAGAGCAATTTTATAAAAGTAAGCTTGAACTTTCGATTATGTCAAATAGAATTTCCAATGCTGGAGCTGCCAAAGGATCTACAAAGCGAAAGTATGTTTCGATGTCCATCACACAAAAAGTGGAATTGTTGCAAAAACTGGATAAAGGCATATCCTTTGTTTCTCTAACCATTCCAAAATCTGTTTATCAATTTCACGCTGCTCTGCGGGGGAGGGGAACGTCAAGGTGCGCAATGAACTGGAAGTTGATCTGTCAGCACTATACTTATCTTCAGGGCAGATGTTTTTATTTTATTCGGCTTATAGTTCATTACTAAATGTAGTATTTCATCTCGATGTACTCTGTCTTTGATATGATTTAAATCAAATTCTTTATAAATAGCATGAATACACAAACAGTTTTCTGGTTGCAATTTTCTAATTTCGACTATGCGTAATATATGCTTTACGCATGCGCGCATTGAAAGAAATGTTTAATAAAGTAAAAAAATAAATATTAAGCTTTTTTTTTAATTTTGATACTCTTTAGATCATAATTGCTCTTTATTTCATAAATTACAGTTTCATATTTTTAATTTTATAATTCTGCATGCCATCTTACCAGTTTTAAACTGATGATCTACAATCCAGAAAAATCGATAATCCGGAATCGCCGAAGTCCTGACGAGTCCGGATTAAAGATTTCCGACTGTATTAATCAAAATTAGCTATTTTTTATCAATTTCTTTAAAATTCACATTGCAAATATCTATTATTGTATACAGTGTTAAAAAGAGATGTGGTCCTACACGAGCATTTACAATCACAAAATTTCTCCTGACTAAATAAGGAATTTTATAAAAACATTAAATAGTGGAGCTTAGAAAGTTCTGTAAATTTAAAATTTAATTTTCTATAGGATTCTTTTAGCATTAAAGTATACAGAAGATTTTTGACATCTCAAACATCAATAAGGTTAAATTTTTGGTAAATCAAACTAAATGCCAAAATACAGAATTTGAAACAAATGTTAACTTCTCAATCAGTCAAACTTTTGATTACCTGAATTCTTCTCCCCCCTTACTCTGCTCTCAAGTTTGGATTTATAGTTTGGATTTATCGAAATAGCAAAAGTCAAAGCCTCTTCATAATTTTATATTTTAAATTTCATGTTACTTGGTCAAATAACTATAAGAAAACAGAATTCTCTTATTTTCATTCATAGCTAAAATAGTCTTGGTATAAAAAAGAGAGAGAGAATCCAATTATCTGGATTTTTTTAATATCCAGAAGAGCTGAGGTCCTAATTAGTTTGCATGTTTGTAGTTTTACTGTTATACATTCTGAAATGCAGAATTTCTAAGTACAAAATAAATTGGAACTTAAGATGATCACCAAAAATTTAAAACAATTCAAATAAGATATGTATTTTAAGTAATTTATTTAATTTAGGAGGTCATTTGAAATAAGAATGACAGTTGTTATTTTCTCCTCAGGTCCAAATATAAAAAAAACTCTCTTAAAAAAAAAAAAAAAAAAAAAAAAAAAAAAATTTAATGTTATTTAAAAAAGCCTTTTTTAAAGTTATTTTTAAAATTTTTACAATTAAAATATTTACATAATCAAACCCTTCAATTTTTTCTATGATGCTATTTTCTTCACATTATGTTATACAACAAAAACAGAATTCAACCAACAGTCTGGTAAACTGGCAGTTTTTGCAACTGCTGCCAGCCTTGCAACAAAAGGTCTCTGATTTATCTCTAGTGGTAGATTGCAAATTTCAAGTGTGCTAAGAGTCTTGGAACACGAAATTTTTAATTTATTTTCAAATTACTAAGAAAATGTTCATATAGAGAGATCAGCTTGGTAGTTTATAAGCAACATACGCGTTTCTGATTAATTTTTATCTTTATCTCATCTTTAATAATGCATCTACTTAAATACATTTAAAAAATAATTTTGATAAACCCCTACATCACTGATATAGTTAATACAAGAAGTTAAATGGCATATAACATACACATTCAGCTGTATAATAAATTCTCCCCTTTTAAAATTTACTCATTTTAAACTCGCACATTTAAAAAACAAGCTAATTTGTAACATTTGAAATTAATTAAAAATATTTATGCATATTATTTTTACATAAAGGTCATTTAATTATTTACATCAAGGCCATTTAATTATATTTCTTGTAGAACAACTTTAGCCTACTAAGCAGTCTTAAATCCAAGCTCCTTCTTTTCTTGTATAATAAATTTAAAAAAGCAAACAGCTCATATTTCAGCCAACAATTCTTAATAAAATCCATAAAAATTCATGTTTAAAAAGACTATCAAATCAGCATGCAGAAGTATGAAAACAATTAATATCCAATCTGACTACGTTTCATCTTTCCAATCCAATTAAGTTTACCCATTTTTGACATCAGCTTCCAATCAGTTCTCTCTTTTCTTCACAATACATAAATTAAAGGGAAAAGTGGAAGAATGAATACAAAATTTTAAAAATACATTCTTCACCAAGTACATAATACAAGATTAAATCTGAAAGCTAAACATAAAATCTTATATTTTGCAGAACGGCAACAATTTCAGAAACTCTGAGAACTTGACTATGGAGTAGATGCCTGGAAGATAAATCAAATGCCTCATGTTTTGAGCAATGGCAACACTTGCTAAGTCAAGTAAATATTATCTCTATGGTAGCATATTTTGGAATAATTCCGCTAGGAACATTTTTAATATCAAAATAAACGAAAGAAAAGATAATGATTTTTCTAAAGCCAAAATTCTGTGATATTTTAGAACTGACAGTGATTTTTAAAGCTGTAATAAGAAATTCTTTGAATGCAAAATTGTTCTATTTACATAAAAATATGTTTTTAACATGAACCATATAAAAAAAAGTATTACTACTTCTAAAAGTACAACCAAAATTACATAAATTTTACTTCTAATTCAGTTATTGATTTTTTATGACCTAATATATAATACAAAAACTAGCTATTAAATTTAAAGAAAAAACTTTGAACATACTGCAGTTGCCAGCTCATGATCAGACATGTCTTCCATGAAAACAGTTTTCTCAGCAGGCTCAGGAGGCAATTCCTCTTTGCTGCCCATCATCAGAATACTGGCACCCTGAATAAAAAAGAGAACAAATGAAATTTCCTACGCTTTCAAAAAATAATAGCAGCAATAATTTTAAAAATGCATGTATCAGTTTTAATCATAAAGGTTTCTAAACACTAATCATACTTGATTGTTTTTTCAGTTAAGATTCTATAATAAGAGATTTGATATAACACATAAAAAATTATTTTAACTTGAAATTTCTAAGAAAACAAACATTTTCACAAATTTCAGAATTAAAATAACTCTCAAAATACACACTATCAAAATTTTATCCATAGCATTAAATTAGAGGAGGAAATGTATTTTTATGCTAGAAATACTGCCTCTGATAGACTTTGTTGCCAAACTATAGCAAATTATCAAATGTTGCTTTGAAGATTTTCAGTGGGATCAAGAACTATTTCAGTGGAATCAAGATTTTCAGTGGGACCAACTTTTCTGATAAACAATATGAAAAATTTGAACTGATTAAAAAAAAAAGTCAATACATGAAACTAATTAATTTAATTAACCCCTCCGAGTTGCTCTGTATTTTATACCTGTACTTTAAACAGTATTGTATTCGTATAATTACTTATTTTAATCTCTCTTTCCATAAAGTTACATTCATTAAGTTGATATTAAAAAAACTAAAGCAAGATATCTTAAATTATAAGCTAATATATGCCAAGTGACAAAAATCTGATGACAGGGTAAAGCTGGTCAAGGCAGTCAGTTAATTAATACATCTAAAGTGACACAACATATAAAATTTAAATGCATCATATATATGTTTAAATAAGACTAGCAAAGTTCAATTTAACACATTCAACACATGCTTAATTTTAAAGGTTGCATAGTGAAATATGCACAGAATGTGATGAAAATGAAAATACCTTTTATATCATTTTTCAAAAGCATGTACACAGCAAACAAGTCTAGCTCCACTTAACAAAAAGTAAAGTAATTATCAGATAAGCATTTCTGGTACCATCCTGATAATTAACAGAAATATTTAATAAATAAATTAATACAGAAACCTATAAAATTCTCAAAGCTAATACAGTACAAAGTCTTTAATCCAGATTCGTCGGGACTTCGGCAATTCCGGATTATAGATCATCAATTTAAATCTGGTAATATGGCATGCAGAAATTATAAAACTTAAAATATGAAACCGTAATTTATGATCTAAAGGGTATCAAAATTTACAAAAAAAAAAAAAAAAAGCTTAATATTTATTTGTTTACTTTATTAAACATTTCTTTCAATGTAAGTTTGCTTCATTTTATGTGCTAATATTTTCTCTCTAATTCTATAAACACACATAACTTCTTGTTTAGTTACAAAGTTCCGCTGTTCAAGTCCTGTAATTGCTGTGCCGAGAATACAGACTACCTTGTCAATCGAAATTTTTTCGTTTTCACTAACCTCTCTGTCACTTTCTTCATGCCTTTATCTATTTTTTGCAGCAATTCCACTTTTTGTTTGATGGACATCGAAAATGCTTTCGCTTTGTAGATCCTTTGGCAGCTCCAGAATTGGGGAACTCTTTTTGACATAATCGAAAGTTCAAGCTTACTTTTTATAAAATTGCTCTAACAGTCTGCAAAAAATAAGCCGGATCCAATTAGAAGATTAAGGAACAACGCAATCTGCAACATTAACTGAAATAGATAATTAGATTATTTTAGCCTAGCTTATACCGTCCGTTATAGATTAAATGCACATGCGTAAACGTATTATGCACATGTGTAAACGTATTATGCGCATGTGTAAATGCTACGCATGTGCAGAAAATTTGTAGCTTTCAGGTCTGTATTATGGAAGTCCAGATTAAAGACTTTGTATAAACTAATAAAATAAACATTTACATTTTGTTAATATTTATTGCAAAGTTATTTTTCCATATCACTTGCAATCACACAGTAATTGTTTACTGGTTGATTAACATGCTAAATCGTTTTAAAGAAAGTATTCACTTAAAACTTTTATGCATAAAATATGCTTTGCATATATTTTTTTAAGAGTAAATGATCATTGATTTTAAAAAAGCTACTAGCAAATAATGATAAATGTTCATAATATAATAAAATATAGTTCACAGAATCCTAGAATAAAATGAGTTGCATTTTAGAGAATAAAAAAGCTTAAAATTAATTTTACAGATTAAAAAAGATAAAAGCAGATACATTTTGACATCACTTAGTCATTATCCTTAACAGCTGGCAGTATACAGTTTTGATATATAGCTTCATCTACTGGTTGAGAGCTCAAGCATCTATAAAGCAGAGCCAGAAAGTGCATTTTAAAGTTTTAATTGCATATTAAATTCTGAATTGCTTAACCATTTCATCAAACAATTACATTTGTGAACTACTCTAAATAATACACTTAAAAAAAAAAAAAACAAAAAAACAAAAAAAAAACCTCTTATTGTCAAATCTAAGCAGATTAATTTTAATTTAAATGAGTCATACAAGATATATGACTGCATATTTGATTCACATGTACCTCTTATTTTTTATTTATTTATACAGTATCATTTAGAAAAATACCAACTGTTATTTTCAAAAGAAAATTTTCATTACCAAAATCTATGTCAAAATAATAATAACCTTTGCAATATGAGTAAATAATGATTAACATTCTAGAATAAATCAAGCAACACTTTGAAGATTGGATTGATCTGAACTGGATCTCTATTAAAATTTGAATAACTATAGTTACAAAAAACTATATTAAAAAATGTCTTTTACAATAATTCCAGACAACAATAAGTGAAAATACAATTTTAAACTTACATCTTTAAGTTTTATATTGCCCCATGCTTCATCCTTGAAGAAAAAAAAGCATTATAAATTTCAACAATAAAAACGTAGCACAACACATTGTTTCCATAAATGGTACAATCAAATACAGAAATTTCATATTTTAGTAATACAGTCAAAAGTCGTTAATTCAGATGGCCATAATCTGGAATGATCTATAATCAGGACCTCAAAGCTACAAACTTTCTGTGCATGCGTCGCGTTGACGCATGCGCATAGGCGTTTACGTGTGCGCCTAAGACCTTTATGGCTGCGAATATGCGTGTGCACATGTGCATAATACGTTTACGCATGCGCATTTAATGTATAACGAATGGTATAAGCTAAGCTAAAATTATCTATTTCAGTTAATGTTGCAGATTGTGTTGTTCCTTAATCTTTTAATTGGATCCGGCTTATTATTTTTTGTGGACTGTTACAGCAATTTTATAAAAGTAAGCTTGAACTTTTGATTATGTCAAAAAGAATTTCCGATTCTGGAGGTGACAAAGGATGTACAAAGCGAAAGCATGTTTCGATGTCCATCAAACAAAAAGTGGAATTGCTGCAAAAAATGGATTAAGACATATCCTTTGTTTTTCTAACCATTCCAAAATCTGTCTATCAATTTCACGCTGCTCTTGGGGGGGGGGGACTTCGCGGAGCACAATGAACTCGAAGTTGATCTGTCAGCACTATCCTTATCTTCAGGGCAGATGTTTTTATTTTATTTGGCTTTTAATTCCTTACTAAATGTAGTATTTCATCTCGATGTACTCAGTCTTTGATATGATTTATATCAAGTTCCTCGTCATTATAATTCGCTTCCGAAGTGAAGAAAGTGGTGCAGAGGTTATAGAAAACGAAAAAATTTCGATTGATAAATTAGTCGGTATTTTCGACTCAGCAATTATAGGACTTGAACAGCGGAACTTTGTAACTAAACAAGAAGTTATGTCTGTTTAATAGAATTAAAGAGAAAGTATTATCACATAAAACAAAGCAACTTAAACAAATTACATTGAAAGAAATGTTTAGTAAAGTAAACAAATAAATATTAAGCTTTTTGTAAATTTTGATACCCTTTAAATCATAATTGTTCTTTATTTCATAAATTAGGGTTTTATATTTTTAATTTTATAATTTCTACATGTCATCTTACCAGATTTAAACTGATGATCTATAATCCGGAATCGCCGAAGTCCAGACAAGTTCGGATTAACGACTTTTGACTGTACAAGAAAAAAATAATAATAATAAAGGGAACACTTTTAAATTTTGACATTAGAAATGTCTTTATTGGAGTCTCAAAAAACTTTTTTAACCATTACCATTTACTATAGAAGATTCTAAATACATTACCATGCATTTATTATCTATAAGATTTGGCAAATATTTCCTTTTGTGAGATCTTTAATTTGCCTTACCCCTGTTTCATAAATAGTCGATTTGCAGAGTGCTGCCATTCAAATTTTTCAGTTAATCTTTTAAATTTAATCAATAGAGAATGGTATAAGCAGAGAGGTAAATAAAACACACCTTAACAATTTAGGCTCTTTATTTCATTTTAATAACATATTTAATTAATATAATTTACAATATATATAAACTGATCATTTGTAACATGTGTTAGTATAATTAATAAATGATTTCTATACTATATATTACACAACTTATTATAAAATCACCTGGTTTAAATTCTTCCCCACCTGACGACCTAATAAGTCTGTAAATCTTCCACAAGACTAGACTCAAATTTATGATATACAGTAAACCCTTGCCGAAGGTGAACAGCAAAACCCGAGTTTTAAAGTTCCCTTAATTCTTAATAATGTTCCACGACGTGGTACTGAAGTTCTCACGGCACTGCATCCAAATGTAGAGGTTTTACTCTTCCCACAGAACACCACTTCTTTAATGCAACCAATGGATCAAGGAACTGTGAAAACATTCAAACCTGTAAGTTAGGAATGTTTACATCTCTGCAAATAAGACACCAGACTAAGGAAAGCACTGCAGACTAATGGCATTTTCAACATAAATCACTGCCCAGAAATGATTAAACTCGCATGGCGATAAGTGAATTCATTAACAATAAATGATTGTTTACATAAGTGCAGGCTAGATGTTTTTATCAGTTCTGAAGGCTTATTAAGTTTGAAAAACAATTTAAGAAAATCATATTGTTATGAAATGTCCAGGCCAGGTGGGATAGCTTCCCCTCCCTGCAAAGCAGTTTAGGTTGCCATAAAATGGCAAGGGGAGCATGGTTGCCATATTTGGCAAGAAATCGGACATTTGGCGACAAAATTGGCGCCGTGACATGGACGGATGGAAATCCTTCTGGAACGAATTCTTACCGGTTTGGCCTCGAATGTTCTCAAACACAAGCCGAAAGCTATACAAACCCTGCTGGTTCGTAGTCAGTTAGTGTGTGTGCGTCATCTAGAGTGCGAGATAGTTGGTGTCTCATCTAGCAAGTCAGTCCGTGTGGAGTCGATCGAGTTAACAGCCGGGCAGCAACTGCCGAGTGGGTCGTCAAGTGCATCGAAGAGTCCCTTAATGTATCACGGTTAGTGCATCGTCGAGAGAGTGTGTTAAGCTCCGGGAACGACTGAACCGAAACGTCGGGAGCTGTACTCTGTGTCTCGTCTAGTGCATCACGAGTTGTAGCGTGGAGCGTATCGAGAGTACGTGAAGTTCCAAGAACGACCAAGTTGAGTCGGGAGCTGTACTCTGGTGCTTTGCAGTGAAGCTGTCTCTACCATTACTGCCTGACGGTGTGAAGGCTGTGTCGCTGATTGTTCCAGCGTGTTTATAGTAGATCTTCGACGACTGTAAAAAGTGACTTGGAGCTATCCTGATTAATACCGGCCAATAAAGTCTGTTTTTCGATACTTCATCAAGCATCATTGTTATTCACTCCAAATATACGAACCCCGTACGAATGTGAAGGAAGAATATAACGTAACAACTGGTGTCAGAAAAAAAAAGCACAACAATTTAACTTGCAAAAACAATAAGTGGCAAAAAATTTTTAGATATAGCAGAAGGAGAAATTAAAAAATTTGTCGAGAATGATTATCATGAAATGATAAATGAAGAATATGCTGATCCTATAACACCAGCCTACAGTGGAAACAGCAATAGTGAAGAATATAAAATCTTTAACATACAAGAAGTTAAACAAGTTTTATGAGAGGTATTGAAGAAATTAGCATACCTTACCACAAAAACATTTAATAAGTTGCATCAGACAGTTCCAAGTAAAAATCACTAGCTATTTAAAAAAACAATCACATCTTGTACACATTTATTAAGCAGTAATAGAAATTTTTCAGTTAACATTTGCTTTAACCCACCTATTTAGGTTCGTATACATTATAAATACTTTCTTATCTAAGCTATACTTGTTTTTTCTACAGAAATTTAGCTTTGAAGAATGTGATTTTGCCATACCTGCAGTGTGTTAATGATGCAGCTTTATCAATATCCGACTCCTAATTTTTATAAATTTATTCACTTAACTGAAGTACTTCCATGATACCATTTAATAGTTATCTGAAATGAATTAAATTTAGGACATGCATATGACTACTACTTAATCTGATCTCCATCCTACTTTTGACCAAAAGCATCCAAGAGCCTTCAAGTTTAATATTCATTACTTTTTCTGTATTTGTTATATAGCTAGAAACTTATGAGCTAAGCTTGAAATTTTTAAGGATACTGAATGGAGGAGAGAAAGACATTTGTAGCTGATAAGCAGAATATTTATTGATATTAAAATATTTTCCTGGAATCAGTATTAATTCAAATTATTAAAAAGTATTTTGTTTTGTGTTACTGCTACCTACTAATATAAAATATCTGATGTGGACACCATTATTTCCTTGTATGGCCTATTAAATTATATACATTTTTTGGTGCACTTCATTTCAACTTCTTTCCTCAAATTTTATTATAGCACTATACAGTCAAAAGTCGTTAATTTGGACACCCATAATCTGGAATGATCTATAATCTGGACCTCAAAGCTAAAAACTTTCTGCGCATGTGCCACATCGATGCATGCGCATAGGCGTTTACGCATGCGCATAAGACCTTTATGGCTGCGCATATGGTGTGCACATCTGCATAATACGTTTACGCATGCGCGTTTAATGTATAACGGACGGTATAAGCTAAAATTATCTAATTATCTATTTCAGTATCCTTTGTTTCTCTAACCATTCCCAAATCTGTTTATCAATTTCACGCCACGGCGCAATGAATTGGAAGTTGATCTGTCAGCACTATCCTTATCTTCAGAGCAGATGTTTTTATTTTATTTGGCTTATAATTCCTTACTAAATGTAGTATTTCATCTCGATGTACTCCGTCTTTGATATGATTTAAATCAAATTCCTCATCATTATAATTTGCTTGCGATAGTGAAGAAAGTTACACAGAGGTTATTGAAAACAAAAAAATTTCGATTGACAAATTACTCGGTATTCTCGACACAGCAATTATAGGACTTGAACAGCGAAACTTTGTAACTGAACAAGAAATTATGTCTGTTTATAGAATTAAAGAGAAAGTATTATCACATAAAACGAAGCAACTTAAACAACTTACAATGAAAGAAATGTTTAATAAAGTAAACAAATAAATATTAAGCTTTTTTTTTTTTTTTTTGTAAATTTTGATACCCTTTAGATCATAATTGTTCTTTATTTCATATATTACGGTTTCATATTTTTAATTTTATAATTTCTGCATGCCATCTTACCAGATTTAAACTGATGATCTATATAATCTGGAAAAATGAATAATCTGGAATCGCCGAAGTCCCGACGAATCCGGATTAACGACTTTTGACTGTATCTGTCATTTAATCAATTCAGTTCTCACTTTGCAATAAGGAAAAAATACATAACTTGGAACTGAAAACATATACACTATAAAAACTCAAGACATCTTCATTAAAAACTGTAAAATACAGAAAAACCTAAAGTTAAAAACAGTTTAAAAAAATTGGTTGT